CTGTGCTGGGGGTAAAAAGAACCTGTCAGGTGATTACGACATCAATATCAATAACAAAGCAACTTTTTTTTTGTTTTTCCGAGATAGAGTCTCACTTTGTCGCCCAGGCTGGAGTACAGTGTCGTGATCTTGGCTCACTACAACCTCCGCCTCCTGGGTTCAAGCGATTCTCCTGCCTCAGCCTCCCAAATAGCGTGGATTACAGGCATGTACCACCACACCCAACTAATATTTGTATTTTTAGTAGAGATGGGGTTTCACTATGTTTGCTAGGTTGGTCTTGAACTCTTGACCTCAGGTGATCCACCTACCTCAACCTCCCAAAGTGCTAGGATTACAAGTGTGAGCCACTGCATCCAGCCACAATGCAACTTTAAAAAAAAATGAAATAATTATTAGCTTTTCTGGAAAAGCTTTATCTCTTTTAACCCATGAAAAGTATTAATATTTGTCATTAAAAAATCGCTTTTGCATTTTTTAGAAGAAACAGTGCTTCATTTCCATTTTAAAAGGAAATTGTAGAATATTGTGAGACTAACCTATGAATGATATTTAAATAGACATTATAATTTTAACACTGTACATGAACAGAACCAAAGAAGATTAAATTATTGTGCATTTGTGTAGTGTGTATTTGAGTTGGGGGAGGGAGACTGGTTGGGGTTTGAGGAGTGGTTAAGAAAACTAAATCCTATCTTCAATAGTAGGAAGTCAATATATAATATTCAAAACTGAAAAAGAAAAATAAAACTTAAATAGCAGAAAAATCTGCTTATTTGAAAATATGGATGTAAATACCAGTAAAAACTGCTTAAACTGTTGGAAATTTTTTACTTTGGAAATGGGAATCAGTAGTTAGAAAGTGCAAAGCTGTAGATTGCTGTTATAAGCTAGCAGAACTCAGCATATTTAAAGTGAATACGTATGACTTTGACAAAAATAAAAATTAAAATTTTAAATAAGAACTATTTTTCAATTCTTTCTCAAATTACATTACTGTTTTTTATTAGAATTGCATTGAGTTTAAAGAAAGATAACTTAAGGAGAACTGACATCTTTCTAATTCTGAGTATTTTCCTCTAGAAACATGGTTCAAACTTCTTTTCTATTCTCAAAAAAAGTTTATCATTTTCTTGTTATAAGTCCTGTGAATTTTCTGTTATTTATGCCTGGGCCTGCTATATCATTTTTGTTATTATAATGACATCCTTTTCTATTATATACATAGATAACTGGCTGTTTCTAGTGTGCAAGAAAGCTCTATATTTTTCTTGTAACTTGAGACCTTACCAAATGCCTTTCTCTATCTCCTAATACTTTTTCAACTGATTATCTTCAGTTTTCTAGGTAGAGAATCATATAAATGTACAAATAACTATAATTGTGTATTATAATTTTCTTTTCCAATATATATGACATTTCTTTTATATAGCCTATTGCATTGGTTAGTACTTATTAAATACAGCTCTAATAATGGTAATAATTGATTGTATTGCTTCCAACCTGAATAATAATACTCCTGGTTTTCACTAACATGAATATTATTTTCTACTGCTAACAGATAGAAGCTTGATTATCTATTTCTTTCATATCTAGGACTTCCCCTATCTAAACACTCCTTCATACTTTATCATATTTGCATTTGCCTTTATACCAGAATTTACAATAATTCCTGTCTCAATAAATTTTTTTTTAAACAAACAGATCAATAGGTGGAAAAGTCACCTCTAGACAATCACCTGCTTTGTCTCCTTTAACGTATGAAAAGCATTAATATTTGTCAAAGTGTTAAATCACTTTAGCATTTTTAGAAGAAACAGTGCTTCACTATTAACTGGATTTTTCAGCACTTTATTTTAAATGCTTGTACCTGTGTTTATGAATATGAATTGTGGTGTTGTGTTATCCCTATGTTATCTTTGTCAAATTTGGTTTCAGGATTATGCTAGCCATATTAAATGAATTAAAATTCATGACTACATCTCAAAAAAAAATTCATGTCTTTGCGCTGAAACAGTTCTAAAGTCATAGGAATTAGATATATTAAGAGCATTTGTCAAGAAAACAACCTGCCTCCTGGTCTTTCTTTGAGCTCTTCAGTAGCTATTCTTCTATTATGTTTCATTGTCCTTTATCATACAAGATGTGTGTAAGTGGACTTTTATCATAGAAAGTTAAAACTATACCTAATTGAAAAGACTAAAAATGCAGTCTATTTCTCTCACCCTATCCCACCCATCCCCAAAGTTAATCACAATTAACAATTTAGTACTTTTATTTTCATTATTTTTCCTATGCCCTCACATGTTTATATGTAAACACAACATGCAAGTATATGTGCATTAATACATGTGTAAAGAATAAATGGAACTATTCTGAAACTAGTCTTTCACTTATTCCTTGAAAAGCTTTTCACATATATATTATAAATGATATGAAACTATATGCACTTCATCCTTTTTAATAACTGCATAGTATTCAAAATTACAGCTTTACCGTACACTCTTTAACTACTCTTCTACTTATGAGTATCTGGATGTTTCCCTCTTTTCACTGTCATGAACAAACCTGCCATGATCATTCTTGTACATAGACCTTTAGGCCCACTGCATGCAAAATATTCTTCAGAATAAGATCATAAATACGGAATAACTAAGTCAAAAAAAGGTAGTTTTAATCTTAATAGATAGTAAAAAAATTTTCTCCAAAAAGATTTTGTCATCTTCTCCTACCAGTAAGGTATCATTACATTAATCCATCATATCCCTACTAACTCTGGGTATTATAAAGCTTTTATAATTTCATTAATCTGATTAAAATGTATCACATTAATTTACATTTATCTGATTACCAATGAGGTTGAATGTTTTGTAGGGTTTATTGAACATTTGTATTTCTTTTTCTATAAGTTGCTTAATATCCATCATTCATTTTTCTATTGGAGTGATTGTTATTTTCCTATTGATGCTTATTGATATTAATCTTTTGCTAATATAATACAAATATATTTCCAGGTTGAAGTTTGTCTATTATGTTACTACGTCTTTTGTATACAAAAGTTTCCTTTTAAATTTTAATGTATTTAAATATTTGATTACTTTCCTTTATGGTTTTAATGTTTTATATCTTACTTCGATAGGCTTTCTTTACCCCAAGCTTATATTTTTTCTGCAGCTTTATCTAGTACTTTTATGTTTAGCTTTTTGGGCATGGTTTAAGGCATATGTCTAAATGTATTTCTTTCAAAATGGATAAACAATCACCCCTAACTGTATTGCTTTGAAAATGGATAACAAAGCTTCACCCTAATTTGTAAAGTGATTCATTTTCCTACTTAATTGTTTGCCATTTTTATTATTAATAGCAGCAAGCACTTACATAGTTCTGATCATATTTCAGGCACTCTTCTAAGTGCTTTCTGTATATTAATGTATATTAATGTATTCTGTATATTAATGTGAAGATTAATACATTAATCTTCACAACAACCATAAGATGTAGGTAGTATAATGATCCCTCTTTTACACATAAGGAAACCAAGGCACAGAGAGTTTAAGTAACTTCTCCAAGAACGCACAGCTGTGTGGCCTGGCTTGAGATCCAATGCTCTTTACTATACTAAACCCTGATGTGCATACTGCTCCTTCTAGATTCCATCCAATCTTATTAACCAATATCTCTGCCTATACCTGCGCAAATCCTATGCTTTTATGATTATATTTTCAAATTTGTTTTAATTTTTGAAATACAAGTTTCCCACATTTTTTCTTCTAGGAGTTTTCCAGGTTACTTGCTATTTCGTCTACCATTTGACCAATAAAATAGCATGTTAAGTTTCATAAATAACGATTAGGATTGCATTACATTTCTAAATTAACTTGAGGAGGACTGATATCTCAAACAAAATTTTCTTCTATTTAGGAAACACCTGCATATCTGCATTATTGGAATTTTTTCTATATTTTACAGTTTTCAACAGATGAATCTTGCAATTGTTAGGTTTTCTTATTATTATTGTAAATAGGTTTTTTCTCTTTCATTCTTTAGTATATTTTTGATAATACATAGGAAAGCATTGATTTTTTCTATATTAATTTTGTATCTGTCATACTGAATTTTACTGATTCTAAGAATTTTTTCAGATAATTTTTTGGATTTTCATGGCAATCTTTAGTTTCCAAATAATTATATTTGTGTCTTTTCTTTATAATATTTATATTTCATGTTATTCTTTTTTGGCCTGTACATTTGCATTAGAGTTAGAGTTAGGCCCTCTATTACAAAGCTAAATGACAATAGTGCTGGGATCAAGTTTATATTGTCTCTAACTTTAGTAGGAATGTTTCTAATGATTTACATTACACATGGTGTTCTTGTTTTATGCTAATCTTTATTAGTTCAATGAAGTCTCCTTCTATTGCTAGCTTACCAGCACTTATTGTTTACTTGTTTTTAATCACAAATGATTATTGAATTTTAGCAAATACATTTTTGCCCATATTGAAACGTCATTATTCTTTTGTCTATTTATGAATTATATTAATGGATTTCCTTGTGTTGAGTCATCCTTGTATTAATAATAGCTACATTTAATGTATTCTTCCTATATGCCAGAAATGATGTTAAACATAGTTATTAGGTAAATACACATTTAAGATTACTGTGTCTTCTTGACAAACTGATCTTTTTTCTGTTATGAAAGTTTTGTTAATCTGTGTAATAGTCCTCATCTTGAAGTCTATTTTGCCTGATATTAACATAGCCACATAAGTTTTATTCACGGTTACTATTTGTATGGTATATATTTGCTATCATTTAAATCGGCCCCCAAAAAGCATGTGTTGAAAACTTAATTGCCATTTTAATAGTATTAAGAGGTAAAACCATTAAGAGGTAATTATGAGGGAGGAGCCCTCATAAATGAATCAACGCTGTTATCGCAGGAGTGGGTTTGTCATAAAGGGGTAAATTTGCATTCCTTCTTTCACCCTTCTGCCAAGTGAACAACAGTGTTGCCTGCCCTGTTGGATGCAGTATTCAAGATGCCATCTTGGAGGTGAGACCAGAACCTCCCAGACACTAAACCTGCTGCTGCCTTGATCTTGGACTTCTCAGCCTCCAGAACTGCAATAAATAAATTTTTATTCTTTATAAATTACCTAGTCTCAGGGATTCTGCAGCACAAAACAGAATGAGCCACAATTTTTTATGTCTTTCCTTTCAACATAGCTGTGTGGTTTTATTTAAAGAGACTTTCTTACAGACAGCTTTTAGTTGCTCCTGTTTTTATATCCAGTCTAATAATCTCTGCCCCATAATTGTAATATTTAGTACATTTACATTCAATGTAATTAAATGGTTGACTTTAATTTTACCATCTTGCAGTTCATATTCTATTTGTTCCATCTCGTGTTTGTATGTTTGTTTCTTTTATTTGTCCTTTTCTACCTTAAATCAATGAAATATGATTTAGTACTCTATTTTATTGCCTCTCTATTGGATATTTCTTTCTTCTCTTCCTCTCCTCCTCCTCCTCCTTCTTCTTCTTCTCTCTCTCTTTTCTCTCTCTCTCTGTCTCTCTCTCTGTATGTATTAGTGATTGCTCTAGGGATTATAGTATATATTTTTAATATCACAGTCTACTTCTAATTAATACTGTAACATTTCACATAGAATAAAGGAATCTTCCAACAGTAGAATCCCATTTACCCCACCCAATTGGTAATGCTATTGTCATATTTCACTATTACATGTATTAGAAATGCCACAACACAGCACCCAGGCCACAACACATTGCTATTATTTTTTCTTGAACCAGTCAATTATGTTTTAAAGAAATTTAAAGGTGAGAAAATACAATTTATTTATATTTACCCACATTTACCATGTCCAATGACCTGTATTCCTTCCTATAGTTCTAAGTTTTATCTTCAGCTTGATGAATTTTCTTTAGCATTTCTTTTAGTACCATGGCTACTGTGGACAAATAGTCTCAGCTTACATTAATTTAATTTTTTTTAACTTTTCAATCTTGAAGAATACTTTAAAAGACATACTGTTTTGGTGTTTTTAGATCTACGGATTGATTTTTTTTTCACCAAGTTCATTTTTGGTTATTACTTCTTGAAATAGTTCTGATTCATTCTCCTTTTCCTTTTCTTCTGAGACTTCCCTACATATGGGACAACTGATACTATCCCACAAGATTCCAAGGCTCTATCCATTTTTTAAAATATATTTTCTCTTTTTTTTCCATTTTGTTGTCTTCCATCATTGCTTGTTCCAGTTCTCTGATCTTTTATTCTGCATTATCCCATCTCCTCTTGAGCTACTGAGGGAAATTATTACTTCTAGTATTTTTAGTTAGGTATTTTTTAACCTTGTTTTCTCTTTTGAGATTTCCTACCTGTTCATTCATTACATTCATGTTTTCATGTAAATCTTTGAACATGTGTATAAACATTGTTTTAAAAACTGTGTTCTAACTCTAAAATCAGTCATCTCAGGATCTCTTTCAATTATATTTTTTTAAAATCTTTGTTATGGGTCATATTTTCCTGTTTCTTTGCCTCTATAGTAATTTTCTATTGCATATAAAATGTTGCAGATGATCTATTATATACAGTCTGGATTATATTGCCTCCCTTTTAAAAGTATAATATTTTGTTCTGGCCAGCAACTACACAACTGGCTCATTCTCTTGATCCTTCAGGCTTCATTTTATGCTTTGTTTGGGGTAGGCTATACCCCTTTTGTACTTAAAACCTTAGATATGATCATAGTCCTTGCTTCTAGAGAGTGGTTTCAACTAAATAACTGATGTGTATGGCAAAGTATCTCCATTATAGCTGGACTAAAACTGCAATATCTCTTAGCAGTGCAGATCTCTGGCATTTCCATTCCATTTTTAGCTCCTTTGCAGCTTCTACTTTTCAGAATTGTGAGGTCTTGCAGAATCTCGACCTGACATGTAAAGCTCAGACCAGCTCTCAGCCAAAAAGCTAAGAAGAATATCTACACAGACTTCTGGGACTTTTCTTCTTTACTGCTTCCCCCTCTCTAGAATTCCTACCCTGCAAATTCCAGCTTTCTCTAGAGCCCTGTGTTTCCATTTCTGCCCCCTCAGCTCAATCAGACTAATGATCATCACTTGGTCTCCATTTCTGTGTGCCCCACATTCAGGAAAGTACTCTCAGATATAAAATATGGTGCTTACCTCATATTACTTCTGTCTCTCTAAGACTCTAATCCTGCACTGCCAATTTTCCAATGCCTAAAATGGTCACTTTATATATTTTGTTTCATTTTAGTGTGAGGGTAAATCCAACAGCAGTTACTCCATGATAGCCTGTAAATAAAGTTGCATAGATAAACTGAATTCATGAGCTTTCCATTCCTTCTTCATAGATCTTTTAAATTATTTCTTCTTCCTCCTTTTCTTCTTCTCCTCCTCCTCCTCCTTCTCCTCCTTCTTCTTCTTCTTCTTTTCTCTCTCTTTCTCTCTCTCTCCACATAGACACACACACACACACATAAACACACACACACATACACACACACACTTTGCCATCTTTTGGGATAATAATACTTTCTGTGAGTTTTTTTTCTCTCTAATGGTCTCATTTAAAATTTGTTTTGTCTAAAATTTTGTAAATCATGTGTTAATTTATTCTCCATCAATGTTAAGAACCCAGAAACATATATAGACCCTTCTTTTTCAAGCTGAAAACTATCATGCTTTACTTCCTCTTTCCCTACCTCTCTCTTCATCTCACACTTCTAGGGAACTTTAGGTCACTCATTTATGTATATATAATATATATATATATTCTTTTTATACATATATTTTATTATATATAATATAATCATATTATTGTATAATATATACTATTATGTATTTTTTAAACATTTATAAATTATATGTAATAGTATATATGTTTTAAATATTTATAAATATTACAAATTATATCTAAATATATACATATTATAAATTTATAAATATATAAATACAAAATATGTTTTAAATCTAGATTTTATATATGTATATATTTTCAAAATTTATTTTTATAAATTGCACTTAGTTTCACAACCACATTACAAACTATTCTTTAGACTTAAATCTAAGTTTTAATTGCTCACTGCTTTTTTTTTTATTATATTTTAAGTTCTGGGATACATGTGCAGGTTTGTTACATAGGTATACATGTGCTATGGTAGTTTGCTGCACGCATCAACCCATCATCTACATTAGGTATTTCTCCAAATGCTATCCCTCCCCTTGCTCCCCACTCCCCAACAGGCCCTGGTGTGTGATGTTCCCCTCCCTGTACCCATATATTATCATTGTTCAACCCCCACTTATGAGTGAGAACATGCAGTGTTTGGTTTTCTGTTCCTGTGTTAGTTTGCTGAGAATGGTAGTTTCCAGCTTCATCCATGTTCTGGCAAAGAACATGAACTCATTCTTTTTATGGCTGCATAGTATTCCATGTTGTCCACGTGCCACATTTTCTTTATCCAGTCTATCATTGATGGGCATTTGGGTTGGTTCCAAGTCTTTCCTATTGTTAACAGTGCTGAAATAAACATGTGTGTGCATATGTCTTTATAGCAGAATGATTTATAATCCTTTGAGTGTATACTCAGTAATGGGATTGCTGGGTCAAATGGTATTTCTGGTTCTAGATCCTTGAGGAATCGCCACATTGTCTTCCACAATGGTTGAACTAATTTACACTCCCACCAACAGTGTAAAAGCATTCCTATTACTCCACATCCTCTCCAGCATCTGTTGTTTCCTGACTTTTTAATGATCACCATTCTAACTGGCATGAGATGATATCTCATTGTGGTTTTGATTTGCATTTCTCTAATGACCAGTGATGATGAGTTTTTTTTCATATATTTGTTGGCCACATAAATATCTTCTTTTGAGAAGTGTCTGTTCATATCCTTCACCCACTTTTTGATGGAGTTTTGTTTTTTTCTTGTAAATTTGTTTAAGTTCCCTATAGATTCTGTATATTAGCCCCTTGTCAGATGGGTAGACTGCAATAATTTTCTCCCATTCTGTAGGTTGCCTGTTCACTCTGATGATAGTTGTTTTTTTTGTTGTTGTTGTTTTGTTTTGTTTTTTGTTTGTTTGTTTGTTTGTTGCTGTGCAGAAGCTCTTTAGTTTAATTAGATCCCATTTGTTAATTTTGGCTTTTGTTGCCATTGCTTTTGGTGTTTTAGTCATTAAGTCTTTGCCCATGCCTATGTCCTGAATGGTAATGCCTAGGTTTTCTTCTATGGTTTTTATGGTTTGGGGTCTTATGTTTAAGTCTTTAATCCATCTTGAGTTCACTTTTGTATAAGGCATAAGGAAGGGGTCTAGTTTCAGTTTTCTGCATATGGCTAGCCAGTTTTCCCACCACCATTTATTAAATAGGGAATCCTTTCCCCATTCCTTGTTTTTATCAGGTTTATCAAAGATAAGTTGGTTGTAGATGTGTGGCATTATTTCTGAGGCCTTTGTTCTGTTCCATTGGTCTATATATCTGTTTTGGTACCAGTAGCATGCTATTTTGGTTATTATAGCTTTGTAGTATAGTTTGAAGTCAGGTAGCATGATGCCTCAAGCTTTGTTCTTTTTGCTTAGGATTGTCTTGGCTATACAGGCTCTTTTTTGGTTCCATATGAAGTTTAAAATAGTTTTTTTCTAATTCTGTGAAGAAAGTCAATGGTAGCTTGATGGGGATAGCATTGAATCTATACATTACTTTGGGCAGCATGGCCATTTTCATAATATTTATTCTTTCTATCCATGAGTATGGAATGTTTTTCCATTTGTTTATGTCCTCTCCTATTTCCTTGAGCAGCTCGCTGTTATTTTTAAACATGTCTTTACATTTCTAAAATTCTTTATTTTGATTAGTTTTTGCTTAAAGATATATTTTGTTTAAAAAAAAACAAGCATAAATGAATCATACAATTTCTGCATTCTTGCAAATCTGAACGAGGCTTTGATTTGCCTTGCATTTTGATAATAGCTTGGTTTAGTATATAATTATTGGAACATAATTTTTCTTCAGAAGTCACACATTTTCTCTCAGGTTTTCTAGTGTTAGTATTGCAAATAAGAAGTCCAATGTCATTTAAACTTGTGGGGTGGGGGGTGACAGTTT